CTCTGTGCCACGGCCCCACACAGGTGTGCTTGCGCCGCTTGTTCTACTCCTCTGTCATCCAGAATCTGCAGGGGGCTGCCTGGAGAAGCCCTTTGTTGGCAGGACACTAAGCTGGATTTGGGGCATCATGGATCAGGGGTTGGGGGAGTGTTCTCTCACGCCTCCTCTGCACCCCCTTCCCACAGAGGTGCCCACTCCTGGCCTCCTTGTACAAAACCTCCTGATTCTCTGATCAGGGGATGCCTTTAGATGGGACGTGGACTAAAAAAGCCCTTCCCTTCATGTAAAGTCTCACCAAAATTGGTTTTGATAAGTAGTTGCTGACCTTTTTCCTCTGACTCCTTCTGTCTGGGGCCTGCTGCTGTTGCCCATTAAGAGAACACTGTGGGGCCTCCTTTTAAAATTGAGGAGTCTGGAGCCCAGGTGCTGCCCTACAATGTCCGTGTGTACAGACATGTAGGACTATGAAAGGTTCTCTTGGCAGTGGGGGCATTACTGGTCCTCGAGGGAGATTATAGGTGCTCAGGTGCTCAGGGGACCTCTTTCTCCCTCTTGGGTCAGAAATGTCCTTGGCCTTAGGGACCCAGCGCACTGCTCCCTCTGTGACTCATCAAGTCCTTATCTCTTTCATGGCTCCTCTTTTAACTTTCAGCTTATAAACTGAGGGAAACGGGGTCTCTAATGAGTTCAGCCCAGGCAGGGTTGGTTACAGAGTCGTCTGTCTGCAGAAACTGGGCATCCTGGTGGGTCTTAGATCAGACAGCATCATTCCTGTAGTGATCGGACTGGAGTCTCATGCTGAAAGGTAAATCCAGGACAATGTTGGTTTAGCACAAATGCCTTTATTTTTGCTTCTATCTGTCTGTATCTTTCAGTCAACTCGCTGTCAGAAAATAGCCTTTTAAGGGCCCCATGCACTGGGGAAGGTGATTTGTTGCCCCCCAGGTAGGTGTGCAGAACCTTGCAGGTTCAGTGGTTGGCCTGTGGCGGTGGCCCCCACACATGGTTCTGCTAAGGTCCTGTAAATGTGATCACTGGCGGGCAAGTTCTGTTACTGGGAAAGTCTCCTTGTGTAGCAGATGGCTCTGCTGACTACCAGAGATTTCCTTTCAGTAGGGCTTACCAGGTCTAGTAACACTCTTGAGAAATAATATTCTCATGGAGGATGTATAATTTATAGATAGCTAGAAATGGCCCAGGACAGGGAAGTCTCAGGAGGGTGGCCAGATGATCCCATAAACCCAGAATGGGTGAGGAAAACCAGCTGCAGGAGGCAATGGAATGGAGGGGTAGGTAGGGCTGTCCCCCACTCCTGGACCTCTCTGCAGCCCTTCCAGTCAGCACTGGAGCCCCTGCAGTGCTGAGCCTTTTCCTGCCTCCCTGTTATTTGTTTTTGATGGAACAGTGAGATCAACCACAGGCTTGCTTTTTTTTTTTTTCTTTTTTAAAATAAGCCAAAATGGTGATATATATTCGAAGGCACAGAAAAATTTAAGAAATGATTATCAAGAGGGGTCAGTTTCAAAAGCAGCAGAAAAAGCATAGTGCGCCTGAACGTATATAGTATGACTTCTATTTTTAAAAGGCAGGTCCGGCTGCGTGAAAGGGGATTTAGATTTTGGAGTGACAAGATCTGTCTGAGCCTCTGATTCTGTGCACTGGAAGAGCCCATGTATCCAGGGCAGCGGGGAGAGTCCTCTCCCGGTCTTTCAGCCTAAACTGTAAGACCCGGCGTTGGAGCATTGCGATCTCGGTGTGGAAAAGAAATGCGTGCTTGGGAGGGGAAAGCACTGAGGGGTAGTGAACCTCTCCGCTGTGGCTGGAAGAGCTTCCTTCATTCAACACCATCTGAGATTCCGAGGCATCTAAGGTGGATCAAATGGAATCTTCTACTCTGCTGCCTGCATCCTCCCACGGCAAAGTGCAAACCCTGGGCTGGATTCCAGACAACCCAACCGGCAGGAGTGGGAAGATGCCAGCAGTTCAAGATTCCAGCCCTTAAGGAATGCTATCTATGTTTCTTTATACCTTTGACTCAGATAACAAGCAAGATCTATGTCTTAATCATGGGCTGATTAATTTCATAGTAAACTTCATCACAATATTTGAAGGTTGTCTTTGTCTTAAAAAGTGAGAGTGGATCCCAGGCTAAGTTATGAGCTCTGGGTTCTGATGGCACTTTGCATGGTGGAGTCCCTTGTCTCCACTTGAAGCCAGCTTGACCTTTCTGTCCACACAGCTGCAGGGATGAAACCATAGACCCCACCCAGTGCTTCTGGTGCTCACCCTGTAGACAGACAGACAGGTCCTCTCACCTCCCTCCCCTTTTTTATGTTAAATCACAGGCCTTGAAAACACCATTGTCTCACAACTTTGTGAGTTCTTTGAGGACAGAGACTCTGCCTTCTCACTGAGTGCTGTGCAGTAGGCATCCAACATAGATTTGAAGAGTAAATGAACAAATAGAGAAGTGAATGAGTAATGGAAACTCGCTAGATGTTGGTATCATTAGCATTTGATTAGTTCCAGGCTCAGTAATATTCATACATTTCTCTCTCTTCACGGTCATCAAAGCAAATGCTGATGCTTATGAAGACAAAAAACACTACTGTGGCATGGGGATGGGCATAGGCAATGTGACTCCAGGCCCAGCTCTCAGCAGTGACCTGTGTAGTCTTGGGGAAAGCGCCCACCCTCTCTGAGCCCTAGGCATCCACATAACCTGATGGGCTCTGGGAACCTCATTCTGATAGCTCATTACTCTCCATTTCCCACTCTGGAAACAGCCGGTTCTTGGATCTTATCCAAGTGGGCTTTTTATCCAAACTAAAGGTAAGACTGATCCATCCTGGGGTTCCCTAACATTGCACTTGAGGACACATTAGAGTCACTGCTCTTGAACCCTTGAGGGCCAGGAGTAGGTGGACACATGACCCCATGATTGTGGCAGTCATGTCCAGGTGCAGCCACTGGGGGTGTTCAAATGCGTTTTAAACTTTTTTTTTTTTTTAATGGACTTTATTTTTTAGAGCAGTTTTAGGTGAACAGCAGTATTGAGCAGAAGGTACAGATGGTTTCCCTGTACCTCCTGCTCTTACACACACATAGTATCCTCCACTACCGTCCACTACCCACATTCCCTCCAGAGTGGTACATTTGTTATGATCAATAGATCGATGTTGGCATATTGTTATCACCCAGAGTCCAGAGTTTCCCGTAGGGTTCATGCTTGGTGTTGTATATTCTGTGTGTCTGGGCAAATGTATAAGGACACATGTCCACCAGTATGGTGCCATTTAGACGGGTTCCCTGCTCTGAAAATCCTCTGCTTTAAAGTATCATCTTAAAAAGAAATGGCATCGGGGCGCCTGGGTGGCTCAGTGGGTTAAAACCTCTCTGCCTTCGGCTCAGGTCATGATCTCAGGGTCCTGGGATGGAGCCCCTCATCAGGCTCTCTGCTTGGCAGGGAGCCTGCTTCCTTTCCTCTCTCTGCCTGCCTCTCTGCCTGCTTGTGATATCTGTCTGTCAAATAAATAAAACCTTAAAAAAAAAAAAAGAAATGGCTTTACCTAGGAAGCTTTCCGATCTGTCCCATTAAATCTGAATACTTAATTTCCCTTCAAGGTAAAAATCCAGATTTCCTGAGTCATGACCTCCTCCTTCAGACACCTCGCCATTCATCTTTGTGTCCCCTTCTGTGCTGTGAGCACGGTACTTGCTGAAAGGAGGGGAAAGCAGGACTTGCGAACAGTCACAGAATCCCAGAATGATGCTTTCCCTCTAAACAGCTTCTCATGCGTCTTTGGCATTTCCAGGCCTAGAGAAGCCTGTATGAGCATCCAGCTTGATTACACAGTTGATTCATGACATTTATGACACTTTCTTATGGAAGCTTCTAAGCAACCAAACAGAAACCCCTATGTTCAGGACATCGTCAAGAACTAACAGGTTGATGGGACGCCTCAGTGGCTCAGTCATTAAGCATCTGCCTTCTGCTCAGGTCATGGTCCCAGGGTCCTGGGATCAAGCCCTGCATCGGGCCCCTGCTCTGCAGGAAGCCTGCTTCTCCCTCTCCCACTCCCCCTGCTTGTGTTCCCTCTTTCTCTCGCTCTGTCTTTCTCTCTCTCTCTGTCAAATAAATAAAATCTTAAAAAAAAAAAAAAGAACTAACACGTTGATCAACTATGTGAGAATATTGTGCCACAACAGATCCTATCAAGAAACAGGATCTGGAGATCAAGGGGTAGTGGATGGGAGAAATTTGATGGAAGACAAACTCAGCTTGGCACATGGGATCTTAGCTGTTTCAGTCCTCTACTCAGAGTTTGGGTCCAATTTTCTCCACCGCCATCTTCCAGGTGTAAAATCGGAGATGGAAGTGGACAGGCTTGGATAGGCAAGTCTTCCTTCTTCCTGCTCTGAACCACTGTGTTCTCTTACTATCAGGGGCCTTTTCCCACACCTAGGGATAATACTCCCAAAACAGCATTTTAGGAGTGGAACTGCCTGTCCTTTGCTGGAGGGCGGTGGTGTGAGCAGCACCGTCATAGGGAAGCTGCCATCCTCGTCCCTCCCAAGCACAAGTGTAGTACCGAGTACACTTGTGAGGGGGTAACAAGTACCTGAGACACCTTGCTTTTTAAAGAAGTCATTGAGTTGCATCCTCTTCAGAGCTCCAAACGAAGAGGTGAGACATGGCCCAGATATAGTTTTGCAGGGCAAGCCCGGGATTGGAGGGCTAGGGTTCAGGCCAGGTGCCAGGCTGGCCCCCCCGGAGGCTCCGGTCCGCGCAGCGGCGATCCAGCCCGGCGCTTCTGCCTGCCCGCCAGGCCGCGCTCCCGCCGCCGCCGCCGCGCTCCCGGGACTCGGCCGCCGGGCTGGGCGCGCGGCCCGCGGTCCCTGCACGTCGGCCCCCGCCCGCCCCGCCCCGCCCCGCCCCGGCGCGCATTTCCATTTTAAACCGCCGCCCGCCCGCCCCTCGGCCGCGGCCGGCGCAGCTGTCCGCAAGTCCCAGCTCAGGGAGTGGCGGAGGCTGCGGAGCTGCCGAACTGTGCAGAAAAGGCCTGAAGATGCGAGCGGGCCCCGCGCCGTAGACAATGAAGCCGCGGGCACCGCCGCCCGCCCCGGGCTCCGCGCGCCGCGGCCGCACCTGCCGGCGAGACCGTCTCCGCGCCTGATCGCCCGCCGCTCCGCCCACCCGCCGCGCTGGCCCATGGCTCGGCGCCCCGGACCCGGACCCCCGCACTCGGGCCGCGCCGCGCACGGGCCGGCGGGCGCCAGCGGTGTCGTCCCCGCAGCCTGAGCACAGCCCTCACGGCCAGCGGGGGGCGTGGGCCCACTGCGGGCGTGCCCGTTCTCCCGCCTCGCCCCGCGACAGCCCGACCGCGCGTCCCGGCCCGCGGCGCGCTGGATGCGGCGGGGCCCGGGCGGGCGGCGCGGTGGCCGCGGCCCCGGGCGACATGTACCTGCTGGACGGCAGCGGAGAGCCCGCGTCTCCGCCCGCGGATGCGATGCCGCGCGGGACACCCCCCAGGAAGACCGTCTACCGTATCTCCGTGACCATGGTCAGGAAGGACCAGCTGGCCGCGCCGGTCCCCGGAGGCACCGACCCGCGGCCGGCTCGGAGGCCCCGGCCCACGCGCTCCCCGGACGCGCCCGGGCGGCTGGTGGAGGAGGCGGAGGAGGAGGCTGCGGGCGCTGAGGACCCTGAGGGCCGCCGGCCGCGCGCCTGGGACTTCCGCACCTTCCGCACCCGCAGCACCGGGCAGCTGGAGCTCGGGCGGCTCCGGCCTTGCGCACGCGGCCTCGAGCCCGCAGACCTGGCCGGCGGCCCCCCAGGCGTGGAGGAGGGGCCCGGCTCGGCCGCGCCGGGCAGCCCCGACGTGGAGGGGGTCCGGGCCGCGCCCCTACGGCGGAGCCTCAGCTTCAGGCACTGGAGCGGTCCCGAGGCGTCGCAGAGTCGAGCCCTGGGCCGAGGGAGGCGCCACAGCAGCTCCGGGAGTCTGGCCTGGGCACCGGGTGGCGAGGCGGCGGCCGACCGGTTGACAGCGGTGGAGCCCGCGGCCCCCGCGCAGCCGGTCTCGGAGAAGCGCAACACCCTGGACGTGGGCGAGGTGCTCAGCAAGAACGACGCGCTCTCGGACCTGGAGCGCTGGGAGCGCAGTAAGAGCAAGAACCGCACGCTGGACAACAGCGACCTGCAGCGGCTGGAGCGCGCGCGGGCGGCGGCCGCGGGCCCCGGCGCCGCTTCCGAGCACCGGCTGCTGCGCTTCTTCAGCGGCATCTTCGCGCGCAGGGATGGCGCGCCCGGCGGCGGGCCCTCTCCCCGAAGCGGCTCCTCGCGACCCCGCGGCTACTTCAGCAGCCTGCGGCGGGCCCCAGCCGAGGCTCACTCGTCCAGCGCGGAGAGCATCGACGGGTCCCCGCGCAGAGGTGGGCAGCGTGTAGAGGGAGGTGAGGGCAGTGGTGGGAACTGGCCTGGTTCCGCAGCGGCTGCTTAGCAGAGTCCCCTGGGACTTGGAAGTAGCCAAGGGACCTGCCTTCCCCGGGCCACCAGTCGGCAGGTGGCCACGCCGGATGTGAACTTGCTACTGCAGTCCGGAGGTTATTGGCTGCCCTGCCTCCAGCTGTGTCTGGTGGTGCCCTTCGGAGTCTGTTTCCTCAGCCACCGTGAGCCTGTCTGGGGACAGATCACCTTGCCATGCGGCGTGTTTCTCCTTATGCGGAGCGGGGAGACTGGGGAACCTGTGGGCTGCCATACAGGTGGTGCTGCCTGGCCAGGAGCAGCAGCGTTTGTTTTGGTTAATCTCCACCGCCTCAGCTCCCCCACGCCTGGTCTCCCTGTGGGCGCCGCCGTCTGCCAGTGCTGTGGTGTGGTCTCCCTGACTTGGCAACTCTCACCTATTGCGTTCCTGCTAAGGATGCTTCATCCTAGTGGGCAGAAAGACGGGCCTTTCCCCACAGCTTTCGGAATTTTAGCGGGAGAGCAAGTCTGGGTCAGGATTCTGTTTGCTAATGATGTATTGTACCATACCGGTAGGAAAATAACCCCCCACCCCCACAGACAGCCTGTTCAGAAACTTTACTTCCCTGTTGCCTTGCACCCTCCCAATAGGGACCTCACAGGGAAGGTTGTGGAGGCAAATGTGACAGTATTCTCTTGTAAGAATCTGCTGTGTTTGGAGATTAGGCTCCTCCAGAAGTTAGAAAACCCAGATTTCCTTCTCTCCCCATGTGGGGTCATCACCCTAAAGGGAAGAGAGAGGGGTGAGTGGAGGGGCTGGATTGTTACACTGTGCTCACATTGGGGGTGGAGGGGGATGGCTAAAGATACTGTCCCCGTGTACTTCACCACCAATAAATCATTAGTAGCATCCTTGGTGCTGATTCCCAGACACTGCTGCTGGTGGAAATGAAGGGAGTTGAGGCTCTGCAGTGTGGATTTTTAATTAGAGAGTGTCAGCTGGTAACTCAACCCCCCTGGAGAGAATAGTCCTCCCTAGTGGACTTCACAGGTCAGCTGACTGCCTGGGGTAAGTATGCAAACAGCCAGGGCAAAGACATCCCCAACCTTGCTCAAGTATCTTTAAGGGAAACTGAAGATCAATGATGTCATGTTGTAAGATGCTTCTGATGACCCTCAAAATGCAATAAAGAATAGTTGAAATTAAGCACTTGCATATGCAGTAGAGTTTAAATCTGAATTTTCTTTTTATAGGTGAGGTCGTAACATAAAGTTATCTGTTGCCAGGCTTGTGTTAGTTGAACTTGCTGTGCACATCCTGTGGCTAACCTGCCCTAGAATATTCTAGAAGGGACTGTGTTTGACTCCGGCCACTATCCCATCCCTTCCTGCACGCTCTTCAGATTCTAAAAAATGGTGTGAGTTATTTTGTTTAAGTTGATTTCTGTGAAGTTGCTCTTGCCCTTACTTGCATTCAGTGGAGTTTCATATCTGTAGGGTCAAGTTCTACCTGTAATAGCAGGCTTGCATCTTTGTTCTCCTGGGTTTGCTGAAAATAGTAATTAGCTGCCTGGGTTCCAGGCAAGTACCCATGGTTGGTGGGGAGGGGAGTAGAAATGAACACACCATTTAGAATGAATGCATTTCCTTGTGGTCCCTATTGATTCCAGTTAAAAGTATTGGGGTTTGGGTCTTGGTGATCCGCTCAGAGAGATCGATGCCTTTGGATAGTAGAGGTGTAAAGTGTGTTGGAATTTTTCCCTTTAGGGCAGTGTAAGATTAAAACAGTAACAATTATAGTAGCGCTTGGTTTGCTTGGTTTGTTTGTTTCTGGTGGCCAGCCCTTCTTAGGGTGGAATTACTTTGGTCTGAGACATCGGCCAGCTCTGTGGGTTGTATGGAAGAACAGACTGTGAATGAGCTAGGTCACAGCACACATAGTCCCAATTCCAGGTTCTCACTTGACTCTGAAGTTTGAGGTAATCACAGAAAAAAGCCACAGTTCTCACCTGCCTTTGGCTAAAAGGCCTGGAGCAGTGTCTGTGTTCTCGAGGTTTGGTAAAGTCAGTGGATCTTACAGTAAAGGTGCAGCCCCTTTATTATGCTGTTCTACTTTCTACGTATTTGCTGCCTCTGATGTAAATTGTTCAGAGTTAGCTGCTGTTTAAATGAGGTTTTGAATTTAGGGTAAAATGCTCTGAGGTAACATTCCGACGCAGTGGAACCCCGGCTCCATTTTCCTGGAAGTGTCTGAGCACAGGTGCACAGAGCCTTGCGGAAACCCTGGGGCCAGGGAGGCTGGCAAGACTTAGAACATTTGGATTTTAGGAAGGTCAAATGCCGTGTGTTACATAACACCGTGTGTAGCGTGTATAGTGAAGGCGTACTGCATTCAGACACTAACAATGGCCCGGGAGCTGGAGACACTCCCATTCTGTGTGATAAATATGTTTACCATTAGAGTCTGCTAAGCTTTTGTGAGTAAAGCTTCCATCTTTAGCTCTTTTTGGATTTCAGGACTACGGATAAATGATCCTGGAACTGAAATGCAGTACACATCATGAACAGCATCTCTAGCTTTCTTTAAATCTTGGGCCACAGTGTATTAAAATTTGAAGTCCTTTCAAGTATGAAGGAAATTAGAGGACCCTTGTCATCGGGGCACATTTTACTTTAGTTAGACTCAGCTATAAGGTTGTCAGTTGGCTCTGGGAAAATAACTTTTTTTTTTTTTAAAATATTTTATTTATTTATTTGACAGAGAGAGATCACACGTAGGCAGAGAGGCAGGCAGAGAGAGAGGGGGGAAGCAGAGAGCCCCACGTAGGGCTCGATCCCAGGGCCCTGAATCATGGCAGAGGCTTAACCCACTGAGCCACCCAGGCGCCCCAGAAAATAACTTTAAAAGACAGTAACTCTTAGGTTCCTTTAGTTAACTTAGAAATCTGCTTCCTCTTAGACAAGGCACCTCGGCTAGTGGTAGGGAAGGAATATGGTTGGTCTTCTGAAACACACACAGGCTCACACATCACGTGTCTATGGTTTTCCTGTATTCTTAAGGCATTAGGATGAAAGGATTGGAGCACCTACTTTTGTAGGATGGTTCTCTTGTACTTTCTAATCCCTATTGTGGCTTTTCTCTTCCTCTGACTGTTGCACACCCGCCTCCCAGAGACCCATGGCCGATTCCTTTCTCTTAGGTTCATAACCATCAGGAGCCCCAGAAGGTTTCAGAGTGACTCTGTGTCAGATCAAGGGCAGTTTCCTATTACCTGCCAGCCCCATACCAGGGCAGAGTCTGTTGACATAAGTATAATTTAATGCAAAAAAAAAAATCGAATAATAAGTGATGAATTGCACTGTAGGGTGTCCCTTACTGGCGCATGCTCTTTGCGTCCCGCCCCCTGCTGCTGGCCAGTCCTCCCTGTAAGCAGCTGCAGGCAGTGCCCGCGCTGGGCTGGGCTGCCAGTGTCTTTGGGGTGTTCTGTTGCTGTCCACGAGGATTGATGACCGTAATAAAGTGATCACGGACAGCCCTGGCTGAGGTTAGCTTTTCAGATTGGTAATTTACAACTGATTTCTGACAGCATTGTTTTTATGAGTGGCTTTGTTCTTTAATTCCTGATTCCCTTGATGTGTATCACTCAATTTGTGCAGCTTGATAGACTGTTTTATAGTTAAAAAAAAAAAAAAACAAGCCTTCAGTGGAGAAAGAGAGGAAGCAGTAATTAAATGAAATAAAATTACTGAAATAACTGAAAATTTTTTCACTTGATTTGTTGCTGAAAAGGACATACATGGTTTTAAAGGAGCAGTATAGTTCAGTTGCTCGTTTGAAACATTTTAAACTAATTATGTACTCCATATTTGGGAAATCACCTGCTTTTTATAAATGACTCAAGATAGTGGTTTAGGAGAACATTCACTGTTTTTGTTATAAGGTCGAATTGCTTTCCTGGCGAACAAGCAATCCACTTGGCATCCAAGCAGAGCTGCCCCACGAAGGTCAGCCGGGGACGCTCTAGGCACCTGCTGAAGGCTTGGACTGTGTTTTGGCTATGTTAATGTTCTCAATGTGGAGCCCCCGGTGTCAGCAGACTCACCCGTTAGCACCTTCCTTTATGTCAACCGGGGCCCTGAATATCATGCTATCAAAGTATGTCTGTCTGCCAAAGAGGCCTCAACAGTTTAAGCCTAGTCTGGCCCATTGCAGCAAAATCTGTCGGTTATACAATTAATAAATACCTTTGTTTGGAAACAAAACTCAACTATAAAGCACTGATAGTATTTAACCCTTTTTTTAGTTTAATTGTTTTCCTGTGCATGGACAGATATTTATGGAGTTTCTGTGGTGTGTTCTGAGCAGGAGCAGGGAGCTAGAGCTAAGTCAGGCATTACGCCTGTCTTTGGAGGCCCCATAGTCTTTTGGGGGATGGGAAAGTTCCAAGGAATCACTGTTTAGGGGAAGGTACGACTATATTTCTCTCTACAACATACCTCCGTTAGAGCACTGCTAATCCCAATATGTAACAATAACCTCGTCTACATACTTGCCACTTCTCCCTCCTGGGCATGAAGCCTGTATTAGTCCTCTTCTTAGTACCGAGTTCAGAGTGCTGTTCTTGGCTCTTGGACTTTTAATAAATGTTTGTGGGAGGAATTAATGAGAGGACTGGGGACACAAAAAAGGGAGCAGATGTCCTTGAGCAGGAGAAGGAGTTAATGAAGACCTCACAGAGGGATAAAATGATTCGGGTGTTGCAGGGTCACTAAGAGTTTGACAACTGGAAAAGAGATGATTTCCTTTCAGCAAGCTGGTTGGGATTTCTGTAGTTAACATTTAGGAAGTCATTCCTTCCTCTAATCTATGTGATTAGCACCAGCCTCAAGCATAAGAAAGGATATTACAGCTTCCACAATGAGTTGGTTTATTTTGTTTTATTTTTAGCATAAGTTGTTTGTTTTTGAT